GAGCTTATTCCAGCAGGGAGAACCTAGTCTTCAGTCACAGCCCGTATTACGTGACGCTCGTATCTCAACCTTTCAGCTGAACTCAGCAGACCCGGTACTGATTTTCGGATTCACCGAGATTACGATAACTAGTTTCAGGGACTGAAGGGATCTGACCCTTCAGCTGGAGGGGGTTCTACACAGTCTTAGCAATAAGCGGTGTCGAGAGTCGCAACAGTGCGGACCTGAAGTGAGGATATTCAGCTTCTGAAATCGCAATACAAGACATGATAAGATTTCCGATATATCTTTGATGTGGAATGTGCCTAGAAGCGGTCTAGTGCAGGGATGGGCGGCCAACGCCGATCAGCCGAATCGAGTTACAAGCGACCGCTGAGCCGCGCCATAAGGTTTACACCATCCCTTCGCTACGAGGGATACGACCTGGTATCTTTTTCGAACTAGTCCCCGATCAAGGAAGCTGGCGGAAGCATCACGCCAACATTCAACCTATTGTGGAAGGTAGAGAGAGTTCAGAGCTGACTTGAGCCAAGGTGTCTGACCTGGATGTTGCTATTCCCAGCCAGCTGAAATGAGGCTCGCCCTTTGCAACTGATGGATGGTAATTCCGGTGTGATAGCAATCCACCTAGAACAAGGGATTCTCCACACTATGTCCTGAGTTGCTTTTCTGAACTTGAGACTTTGCTGGTTTTATACGAAAGTTGGAAGACATGACTCTTATATAACGCGAGGCTGGGTCGCACAATTACTCGAGGATTATAACAATCTATTCACACATTCGTTCCTTACTTCAACTCACCCAATAACTGTCCCTCGCTTGTTCCCCCCTGACTTGACTCCAAGTCATGCATACACTCTCGTTTTTGGGGCGGGTTGCCGCCTTGGGACTGATGAGTGGCGCTTTGGCTGCTCCTGGTGCCAAGGTGTGCGACCCGGCTGATGGACCCGCGGTAGTTGTACTGCAGCCCGTCGAGATCGTCTGCGGTGGAAAGACAACAACTTCGACGCTCACTCGGTAAGGGAAAAATACGATTGTTCCAGTATACTTTGTCTAACATAATCTTAGGACTTACACCGACTATCCGTTGCCTCAGGCTTCGGGTCATCCTGGGCATCCCGATATTCCCGGACAGCCTGCCCCTGGACAGTCTTATGCTCCTGGTAACTCTGCTCCTGGACAGCCTTATGTCGCTGGCCAGCCCGACGTCACTGGAATGCCTAACATCCCCGGTCACCCTGGGTACCCTCCTTGTGATGGTTGTGTTACAGTCACAACTACTGTTTCTTCTGCCTTTTATACTACGGTTCCTGGTTCCAAGGGAGGACCCTCAACGGTCATTATTGGCCAGCTTCCTCCTTGTACTGATTGTGTCACTATCACCAAGAGTGGTCCCAGTGCATATCCCAGTATGGTTCCTCCTGCTTCCCAGGGTGGCAAAACTACTGTAGTCGTTTGCCCAGGACCTCCTCAATGTACCGACTGTGTCACTGTCACCAAGCAAGGCCCCACTGCGTATGTCACTACCGTTCCCCCAGCCTCAAAAGGTGGAATATCAACGGTATTCACCTGCCCTGGGCCTAGAACCATCACAGTGACTGGCAGGGTCACAGCCACCACTGTCGTACCTCCTCCTTCTGACTGCAACTATTGCACGGCGACCGTTGTCGTTCCTCCAGCCGTTTTCACAACCCTCACGTCTACAGCTACGACAACTGGCGTCACCACTCTTCCCGCTACCAGCGGCGGCACAACCACAGTAGTCACTTATGTCACAGTTCCAACTGGAGGACTGACGACCCGAACTTCCACTGCCTCAACTACTGGTCTTACCACTCTCCCTGCGACTAGCGGTGGTACTACTACTATAATCACTGATGTGACCCTGCCGCCAAACACCAATTCTGGCACTATCACAACAGAAACAGAGATATGCACTGATGGATGTAGTGGAACTATAACTCGCACTCACTCTGGAGCGTGCTCTGGAACCTGCACTGATACTGTCATTCTGCCGCCGTCCACGAGCGCTTCTGGTACCACTACGACAGAGACAAAAACCTTTACTGATAGCTGTACAGCCACTTCAACTTACAGTCACTCTAGAGCCTGTTCTGGAACTTGCACTGATACTGTTATTGTACCGCCGCCAACAACCTCCTTGACCAATCAGCCTAGCACCAGCACTTCAGGCGCTTCCAGTCTTAGCACCTCAAGGTCTTCTAGTGTCAGCACTTCAGGCTCTGCTAGTATCAGCACCTCAAGGTCTTCTAGTAGCAGCGCCTCAGCCTCTTCTAGCAATAGCCCATCAAGCTCTTCTAGTGTCAGCATTTCAGGCTCTGCTAGTATCAGCACCTCAAGGTCTTCTAGTAGCAGCACTTCAGGCTCTTCTAGCAATAGCCCGTCAAGCTCTTCTAGTAGCAGTGCCTCAGCCTCCCCTACGACCAACACTTCAGACTCTGGTATCAGTACTTCAGCCTCTAGTAGTAGCACTTCAGACTCCAGTGTCAGCACTTCGGCCTCTTCTAGCAATAGCCTTTCAAGCTCTTCTAGTAACAGCATTTCAGGCTCTTCTAGTCTCAGTACCTCAAGCTCTTCTAGTAGCAGCACTTCAGGCTTATCGAGTAGCAGTGCCTCAGCCTCTTCTAGCGCCTCTTCAGGTTCTCTAACCCGCACTTCTTCTTTCTTGACATCATCTTCATCAGCATCTTCTACCTCTACTTCTACGCCAACAGGAGGACTCACTACTCAGATATCTACAGCATCAACCACTAGCCTAACTAGTTTACCTACTGCCAGTACAGCCTCACCAGCATCATCAACCTCCAGCCTAAGCTCTACATCTACCTCTACCTCTCCTTCTAGTATAAGCTCTAGCTCCAGCTCTAGCTCTAGCT